TTGTAGTTAAAGTGATTAACTACCCGCCTGGCACTTAGTTAAGGAGTTTCACCCCCTCCCTAACTTCAGGGGAAAATCTCTACCTGGGGAAACAACCTTTCTCGGAGAGGTGACCTTGGTTAAAACACATAGTGCCAAGAAGGTGAGCAAACATATTAAGAACAGTATGCCATATATGCCAGGTCCCTTGAAACAGCAAGGATGGACCGGCTCCTGGCAATGTTACACAGCCCTCTGCGAAACCTCCTGAGATTATTGCAACCTTTGGTGGCTGGCCTCCCATCCCTTTGATATTTAACAGCATATTTGCCTGTCACTTATTTGAACATTATACTATATATTTATCATTTTCTAACAGTCCAGTGTGATAGTCTTGTCTATAGAGGAGATGAGAATGATTGCCAAGTCCTTGGACTCCAAATCAGCTATTTAACACAATAGTCACATGAAGCAAAAACAATTGGTTAGAAATTCCAGATATACACAACAAAATGTAAATAATTATCATAACACCTGCCACTAGATAATGCATAAGAAACCAAGGTACAGAGGGATGAACTACTTTGCCCCAAATCAAGAGGTAGTAAGAGATAACACTAGGATTAAGACCCCGACCGGCTGGCTGCAGAATGAATGCACATTATATAACACTGTGTGTGACCTGCTCGCCTACTTAACCTCACTGACTTCTCTTTCTGTGTTGGTGAAAGATGGAGAATAATGACGCCCTTTATAAAGTTAGCATGTCAGTTATTAAGAGAAGTACATCCATCAGCTTTGTAAGCATGAAGCTCCATAGCAGACGTAAAATGTCGCTGTTGTCTGCTGTCTTCATGCTGCCATTGTTGCCACAGCATCATGTGAGCTCAGCTCATAGAGGAGCAAAGGTTTCCCTTAGATTCCTGTAGGGATAATCATTTGCTGGCTTTTCAATCTCAACACACACGTGTTTGCTCTGACTGAACAATGTCCATGCCCTAAAATAGCTCATGTCCACTGAGAGAGACTAACTAACAGGGCATAGGGAGGGAAGGCCATCATGAGGTTCTGAGTTTTGTGCAAAGACCCAGGAGAGAGGAAAGGAGAAGGGAAGGATTGTGGTACTCAAAGAGTTAAGCAAACTTCTTCCAGCTTAGGAAACAGACCTGCAGTTTTAAATTCTAATAATCTTCCCATGGGAGAAGCACCAACACGTTTTGCATTGTATTTATGCTACACAGTAACCTTTTCCCATCATTTTTAGTCCTCACTTTCCTGCATATTTTCCCACAAAGACTGTCCTTGACCAACACCAGAAATGAATTTGATTTCTCTAATGCAGCAGGTAATTGGATTTTTCTTTATTGGATGCATCCCTTTAATGACTGTCTCTGCTCCTTGCCAATTTAGCAAGTGCCCTGACATTGATCTGATGATATGACTTAAAATAAATAGGTGGAAGCTGGGGGTGAAAAGAACCAGCTGTCTGGCATCAGAAAAAAATGTATTTTGTCCTCATCTTGCCATTTTACTGAGAAATCTTTTACCCTTGAATGGCATTTTTGCAAAACATGCTGCTGTAATAATTAGTCATATAGCAACAGATTGCTTCCTTCTAGAAAATATAGTAATTATTTCCCAGAAAGTGCCCTGGAGAAAACATTGCAAGTTGAATAAAATTTACCCAATAATCATGCTGTTCCATGAAAATATCTGTTACTATGCATACTCTTTCCAGAGCAAGATAAATATTGTTGGACAGAATTAATTAAATCTTTTTAAAAGCTGACAAAACATGAAATATTTATTTAAGTATTTATTTGCTTAAGTTGAGGTTTTGTAAAAATAAAATCTGACACAAGATTGTTATTTAAGAGGGTGACAAAGGAGCAGCGGATAAAATTGTTGTATTTTGAAAAATAGTGATTCTTTCCTCAGGGAAGTTGTGATATAAAACTTGTTTTAAGCTCAAGAATATATGGGATATAAATTTTCTATTTTTACCTTTATTCCTTTTTAGTAACAATATAACTCAGTTGATTCATGGTTAATTTTTATTCTATCATCTTCCCTTTGTTTATTTTGATAAATATGATTTTTTTAAGTTGAAGATACAATTCATGGTTGAGAAAATAAAGTCTTGTAATTCTAATGAGTCATGAAGAAAATAAGTTTTCTTTTAAAAATAAGTTAACAAGTGTTTTTTTTTTCTTTTTGAATTCTTAATATTAGTTGCATGTACACTTATCAAAGTAATTAATAGTTTTAAGACATTGAGAGTTTAAATTAAAACCAGTTATGATTGTTGAGCCTTTTCAATAATGAAATCATATCACACAGAATTACTGTGGGTTCTAAATCAGACAGAGGGGGCATAGGTCTGCAGTGTTGCTCAATGGAGATCAATGAACTTGCTTTGATTCCTACCAACCAGGGGAGGCGTGGGAATTCTAGTCCTAGAAATGACGTGAGAAAGAATATAGAGAAAAATTAAGATCACATGTGCCCTAGAGACTGGGCTCTTACTCACTGTTCTGATTGCATCCTCAGTGAGCATGTGCAGCTTTAGCATGTCAGTGAAAGTTTCCAGGAACTTTTCCAGGATGTTGTGTTGCACAAGATGGGCTTGCTTGAGAATCAATGCACCTTCTGCAGGGAGTCCAGTAGCATTGAAGGGCCCACTGGATCACCATCTCTCATCACAAATTATTAAATCTCACCCATTCCAGGTTAAGCCATTGTTGGAAATTACATTTAAATGTAATGTTAAGGCTTTAAGGGCAAAAGAAAAAAAATATTTTAATGGATAATGAAACTTCTTTGTTACTCTATTGAGTTTATTCCATTCTTTGTTAAGAATTTTGATTCTGTCTTGAATTTTTGGATTTGAAGATTATTAAATAAAACCATAATTAATTAAACAATGTTCTCTTCTCTCAAATGGAAGGTATATTTTCTGGGAAAAGGAAAAAAAAACTATGTGTGTGTGTATGTGCACATATGCAAACATGTTTCCTTTATTAGAAGAAGGAAATTCATTTTTCATTCTTACTAGTTTTTTAAAGCTGCTTTTTATGACATCTATGTATTATTCTTTGGAAATTTGCTGAAACTATTAATATGGGATGTTGACAATGGACAATTTATTTTGTTAATGCATTATTTAAAAGCAAGCATTTATATCCTAATATATTTTTGCCATTTTTTCTTTGAGTAATATTTTAGTCTTTTATATAAAAGATCATTAGGAAAGGATACAATGATAAATATTTGACTTCAAGGATTTCAAAGCCTAGTGGAGAGAAAAATATGCATAAGTAAGTAAAAGAGAAGGTGGAAAGTGATATGTAACATGAAAAGGGTCAAGAACTGTAGTTGGAGGGAAAAATGATAACACGACTGTATATAGGCCTCTGAAGACAGGCACAATCTGTGCAGGTGGGAGAGGCAGAACATTTTTTTGAAGAAAGAATAGAATTGCTAATTACATGGAGGTGGAAACTTGCTAGGTAATTAGATTAAATGTGCCTTAAAACGGTCTAGGTACCATACTTCACAAATCATTGAAGAAAAAAAGGGAGAGAAGGAAAGATAATATTTTGACTGGAAATAGTTTCTGTTTAGCTAAGTTAGAAAGAATATGGTACTTTATTATATGTTTTGTTTCTATAGAGAGGTTATTAATATCTTAATGATGCCCTCTTTTATAAGGTAATCTTGACTGATGTTTACAAAATAATGTCAATATTTGACATGTTGAATGACCTTAAATATGCTCATTTATTATGTAAAGAATATAAACTATTAAAGTTTTTAAGTAAAGGAAATATATTCTTCTAGTTTTATCTTTGCATTTGTTCTAGTGTTAAAATACATACATATTTTATTTTCAATAAAATGTAAATTATTTGCATATTTACCCCTGAATGTAAATTTCTGACAGTGCTAAATAAGTTTCTTTGATTGCTTCAGGTCACTGATATGATGCTTCAGGACAAACCCTATCCTGATTGGGGGAAATCTGCAAGAGCTTTCTGGAAGAAAGGAAATGTTAGGATCATTTTATTCTGGTAAGAGATTGTTTAATTTATTGATTTATACCTTGTCTCATTCACTAAATGACTTGGATTGGATGTAATTTTCTTTAGATGTATAGAATTCTATGTGGAGAGACATTATAAATGTGTACTACATTCCATTAAAATGATTAAAACCAATCATTATAATTATTAAATGAATTTCTGCTTACCAATATTACATATACACATTTACAAGAGATATGTTTTGATAATATAGTGATGCAAAGATTTTAGCAGAGATAAGTAGGATTTTGACTGAGCAAAAACAAGCTGTAATTTTTATCAATGAATTATGATATTAAAAATGCCTTCGGTAAATGCTAAATTTCCAGTGTATTTGACATGATATAATTTACTTTGAAGAAGTTGTACAGAAAAGGGCCCTCTTTACAAATCACATCTGGCTCATTGGCAATTCTTCTTCACTTTACTTCTAACGTTTCCTTTCGATCCCCAGCCCAATCATTGAAACTTTAAAAACAATTTGTCTGATAGAACTTCGCTGTGCTTTTTTTAAAGTAGCATCACCATTATTTATGAGTATTTGCATAAGATTAGACAGAAAAGATAGGAATGTGGAGAGAGCAAGAGAGCACTTCCTCCTGGCTGAGTGCCACTGGCCAACCACAGGGATTCAACCTGATTATGAGAAGTTATATACACTGACATGCAGAAGAGTTGTAATTAATGATGCCTTGTGCCTGGTAAATTCCAGCCACTCTACCTGCCTTTTGAAATGAAGGCAAAATCTGTTTATTCTTGGATTTAATTTGGGGGCATTGAATGTTTTATGTATAAGCTAGAAAAATCATAGTTACTGAGTACTTGGAAAATATACTCTCTAAGATATCTTTATGCTTTTGCACTAATCATTAAATGTTGCTAGACACAGAGAGCATTTTAAACCTATTTCTTAGCAGGTAAACAAAAGTAGATGTTTTTCAATAATGTAAAAATAAATATGGTTTTGTAGGTTTTCACACCTGTGTCTATGAGTCAAGTGTGGTCTATTTTTACGATGCATTTAACCTCCATATGTTTTCCTGCCTAAAAAGTGCCTTGTTTAAATAATATGCTTTATAATATTTGTGGCAAATGTTTATTAAAGGCACATTTTTCAACCGGCACTGTGGTAAGTACTTAACATTCTATATATTTACTCATTTAATTCTGACATATATAAGGTAGGTGCTGTTACTATAAGCATGAGTCTCTGACTCTTGGGCCCCAGTTTTTATTTTTATTTATTTATTTATTTGTTTGTTTGTTTATTTATTTATTTATATTTTACAGTGTGTTTTTATTTATTTTTTAAAATTTTTTATTTATTTGAAAAAATCTTTATTGTTGAAAGTCCTCCTTTGAACAATAAAGGAAAAAGGTCCTCCTTTCCCTCCATCAGCTTCTTCCAGCCTGTTCCTGCCTTTACCCTCCAGGCCTTCACGGAGCCTCAGTTTTTAATCATTGCACCACACTGCCTCTAGAAGAACAAAAGATGCAACCAGTTGCAAATTTCCAAATGATTATCTTTCATCCATTTTTAGATAATGGTTCCAGATAAGCCTGTGAGATTCTGAAAAATTGTTCCACCCTACAGAATTCTCTATAGGGGTTTTAAGAATCACAATCTAAAAGGAGATAGATCTTAATAGTAAAAGTGTTGATGACCTATCTCTTTTAAAAAAACTTACACTTACTTTGTTTATAGACAGTTTGTATTATTTAAATGTACCTTCAAAGGCTGCCCATTGATTATTGTTTAATGTGGCCAGTTACCAAGGTCACATATATATTAACACAAAGGCAAGGCATGCATAATTATTTGAAGGCCTCCATGTTTGTTGTCATTAGCTACTCTTAATTGCAATGGCTGTTTGAGGAAAAGAAATCATACTAGATTTTTCCTGGTAATCTTAGTACATCTTTCCTTGAATATTACCACTCAGGTCTATTAGTATATGTTGTTAAACTAATTTATTTGGTCACTGGCAGATAATATTATTGAATGGAAAATAAACAAAACCTCATAGTTATTCTTACAGTAGTTGTTTCTGTATAAGTATGATAGGAGATTATTACTAGAGATGATTTTTTCAAGGTAGTATTTCAAGTCATGGGGAGCATAAAATAATGAGGGGAATTTAAATGTCACTTTTCCTGATTTTATTCATTTCTACACAGTTAGATTATCTTGACAACAGTATTCTTTCTTTAAAAAAAAGGAAAATCTGATACAAAAAGTTGAATATGAAAATTATGTGGGAAGCAGAGAAAGGAACCACGATGGTGGCATAGGTAAATGCCTGTACCTGCTGCCTCCCACAACCACATCAAAATTACAACTAAAATACAGAACAACTACCATCCAGAACCGCAGGAAAGCTGACTGAGTGGAAGTACTACAACTAGAGAGGTAAAGAAGAAAGCTCATTGAAACTGATAGGAGGTGCAGCGTCACAGAATGAGCTGGTCCAGCACCCACGTGGGCCACTTTTCTAATTGGGAGGGAGTCCCAGTCCCACAACAGACCCCCAGCCCAGGGGTTCCAGAGCTGCAGAAAGAAGTCCCTACAGGCAATAAGAACTATGGACTGTAAAAACAAGTGCGGGCTGGGGTTGAGTAACACACAGGCTGCTAGAGACTCAGCTGCTCTTCTTAAAAGGCTGGCACCTCAAAATGAATTTATAAGCTCCTACTTGCTCTGAGATCCAGAGCTGGGTGAGGCTCTGAGGGACCCAGACAGATACAGGGAGAAACTGGACTGTCTGGTACTGGGGGAGGAAAGCGGGGGTGGCTTTCTTCCAGATGGAGGTGCTCCCAATGGTCATTGTTCCTGTCCTGGGACCTCCCCAGTGCAGGGCTGACTAGCAGACATTTCTGTTCACTCTACCTTGGAGATTCCCTGAGACCCTGCCCCACCCAATCACCCAATTTACAATCCCACCCAAGCTGTGGGCAGCAGCTTTTGGCCCGTCCTTTCTCAGCCTAAAACCTGTCATACAAGTTGCAGCTGGGTCACGGAGCCCCAAAGCTATCAATAAAAGGCCCAAGGCTGGCATCAGCAACAGCCTGCCTTGCTTCACAGGTGGGCCTTGTCTGGGCACTTCCAAATCCGATACAAAGAGGAGGAATCTGCAGATCTCTCTGTAGCTCCTGCTGGCTGGCCCCAGGCAGTGGCTGACATTGCAGCTCCTTGGAGATCAAAGAGCCAGTGTACCCAGTGGTTAGTGTGAGACCATACCAGATTACAACTCTTCACATCCGTAAGTGGCCCACTCAAGGGACAGACTCAGTGAGCACTAACATCCCACTGAAGCAAGTCCTGCCCCATTAGGGTGTCTCCTGCACAGAAGCTCTCCCACTGTAGTCGTAGCTGGTCCACACAGCCAGTTAGCCTGGAAGTCAATTCCTCCCAGTGACACCAATAGCAATCAAGGCTCAACTACAACAAGACTGTGCACACAGCTCACAAAGGGGTGCACCAAGAGTGGCCACCTTAGTGATTGGGGAGGCTGAGCCACTGGGCCCTATAAGATACCTATTTCACAAGGCCACTCTATCAACTCAAGGAGACTTAGCAGCTATCCAACACATATAAACAAACACTGAGAATCAAGTCAAAGATTTGAAATATAAGGAAGCAGAAAACACCCTACTGGAAGAGCAAAAAGAAAAAAGAATCCAAAAATATGAAGATAGTGAAAAAGTCGATGGGACAATTTCAAGCATACCAACATCCGAATTTTGGGGGTGCCAGAGGAAGAGAGAGAGCAAGAAATTGAAAACCTATTTGAAGAAATAATGACAGAAAACTTCCTTACCTGGTGAAAGAAATTGACTTACAAGTCCAGGTAGCGCAGAGAACCCCAAACAAAAGGAATCCAAAGAGGACCACACCAAGACACATCACAATTGAAATACCAAGGGCAAAGGACAAAGAGAGAATCTTAAAAGCAGCAAGAAAAAAGCAGTTCATTACCTACAAGGGAGTATCCTTATGACTGTTAGCTGACTTCTCAACAGGTCAGAAGGGAGTGGCAAGAAATATTCAAAGTGATGAATAGTAAGAACCTACAACCAAGAATACTCTACCCAGCAAAGCTATCATTTAGAATTGAAGGTCAGATAAAGAGCTTCACAGACAAGAGAAAGCTAAAGGAGTTCATAAACACCAAGCCAGTATTATATGAAATGCTGAAGGGTATTCTTTAAGAAGAAGAAGAAAGGTAAAGGTAAAAAGAAAAAGGTAAAGGTAAAAAATTATGAACAACAAAGTGACAAAAAATATATATCTATCAACAAGTGAATCTAAAAATCAAATGAATAAAATATCTGATGAACAGAATGAACTGGTGAATGGAATAGAATTAGGGGCATGGAAATGGAACAGGCTGATGATTCTCAGAGGGAAGGGGTTGTGGGGTGTGCGGGAAGAGATTAGACAAAGATCTTATATGAATGTACTGTATGCAGTACCTATGGGCACAGACAATAGAGTGGCAAGGGCCTGGGGTGAGGTGGGAACCAGGTGGTGAGGAGCCATTTGGGGGGAAAAGAGAGGCATCTGTAATAATCTCAA